GTTTGGTTGCGTGTACCTGGCTCTGCATGCTGTGACTGGTGAACTCCTTGCCGTGAAACAAGTCGAGACACCTTCACCAAATGCCACCAGCCAGAACGACTCTCGAAAGAAGAGCATGATCGAGGCTCTGAAGCGAGAGATCAGCCTCCTTCGGGATCTGCGCCACGCAAACATAGTGCAATACCTTGGCTGCAGTTCATCCACGGAGTACCTGAACATTTTCCTCGAGTACGTACCTGGCGGCTCAGTCCAGACGATGCTGAACTCCTACGGCGCCCTGCCTGAGCCCTTGGTACGGAGCTTCGTGCGACAGATTCTGAACGGCCTGTCCTACCTGCACAACAGGGACATCATCCACCGTGATATCAAGGGTGCCAATATCCTTGTTGACAACAAGGGAACGATCAAGATTTCCGATTTCGGCATCAGCAAGAAGCTCGAGGCCACTAACATTCTTAACGGTGCCAACAACAATAAGAACCGTCCCTCGCTGCAGGGTTCCGTCTTCTGGATGGCGCCCGAGGTCGTCAAGCAGACATCCTACACGCGCAAGGCTGATATCTGGTCGCTGGGCTGTCTGGTGGTCGAGATGATGACGGGCACCCACCCCTTCCCCGACTGCTCGCAGCTGCAGGCCATCTTCAAGATCGGCGGTGGCAAGGCAGCACCGACGATTCCGGAGAGCGCCAGCCCAGAAGCCGTCACGTTCCTCGCTCAGACCTTTGAGATCGACCATAACCTGAGACCGAGTGCAGATGACCTGATGCTAAGCTCCTTCTTGACCCCTATTACCTAGGACGTGAAGGGCGTCAATAAGTTCAAGTCAAAGTATACCTCACTCGGTCGTTGAGCGCGAAGCGATGTCTTATGCTGGTTAAAGACCAACGGCACGACCGCCCCTTTTTTTTTGTTTCTCTTAAGGCGAGGAACGGAACGAACCAAATACACAGGAAACATGGAATGAAGGGCATTCTACGATCCGGTCTAAGCACATAATTGGAGCATCGAAAGTGAGGGTGGATTTGGAACCGATGGATATACTAACTTCTCTTCTCTGCTCCCTTTTTACCCGCCCTATTTGATCGCAGTAAATCTCAAGACGAGAAAGCGATAAGGACCAAATGTTATACTTGTAATGAAGAGCGAAACGACGAGACGGATATCACGATAGGAGAGCGAGGCCCATACATAGCGTGAAGCGCGGGCAGGCAGGCAGGGAACTGTCGAGCGAGCAAGCGAAATTGGAGAGACTGGCTTGGCTGCCCAAGCTGGACTGGGCTTCCAATACTTGCTCAATCTAGAATATTGATATCCCACTTCACCCGAATGAACGCTCTGTGATCAAGTGCTGTGATAATGCCCGAGTTGTGTAGTCAGATCACGATGGGACTCAAAAGTAAAAAAGGGCAACGAGACGACGATGCTCCTTGAACTGACGCGCACTGCTTCCATCCACTCTTCCCAATTCTAGTGTAGACACCTTCCACTTGCTCTCTTCATGCTTTGCCTCTTATTCTCCGGTAGCAGGTATCGGAGACAGATGCTCAGTGAATCTCATCACCGTATTGGAGTATCGGCATCCATCACCCCTACATGGTGCTGCGCTCTCCTTTTCAAGACGACCGTGACATGCTTCTACGCTTAGTGGGGGGTATCTCTTTTCATATAACAAAAATCCAGATTCCTCGATGGAACCGATGCCACCAATCAACCCACGAGGGCACTCCCCTTGACACTCAAGCTGCCGTCCTTATCCTCGACCCAGACATCCCACTTGCCGTCGCTTCCCTGCCTCCTCCTCCCCTCGCCCACCCCGCCATCCACGTCACTCGGCCTCACGCAGACCGTCAACGGCTCGCCGACGTACAGCGGCGCGAGGTGGCGGTAATCCACACTCTTGATTCTCTCCCCTCCGCCCAGCCGCGAGCGCAGAACGCAGAGCATGAGCGTCAGCGATAGGGGCCCGTGGACCAGGAGGTCGCGGTGCCCCTCGACTTCGCGGCAGTACTGGGGGTTTATGTGGATCTGGTGCGCGTTGTAGGTCAGGGCGCTGTATTGGGCGAGAAGCGTGGGCGTGGGCGTCAGGGTGTGGGTGAAGCTGGGGGTGTGTTGTGCTTGATCGGAAAGTCAGCCAGGCTACGGGTAAATAAGGAGTTAAGGGGGAGGGACTGAGTAGGCGAAACGGGCTATTACTGATGAGGGCATATACAGAGAAACAATAGACACAGAACGAAAGGAAAGAAAGACAGACTTACTTTTCACAATCCTCGCCGTCCCCGCCGCTTTCCCATTACTGGCGACCCCCTTGGTCTCCACGGGCGGCATGAACACAAGCGTCCTCCGTTCCGTGACATACTCGTCCACCCCGCCGACCTCGAATCCATCCACGCCGTAGCGCCGCAGCACATGCACGAAGATCTTCTCCTCCCCGGGCTTGCCCTTGACCTGCACATCCTCTATCCTCTCCCGACACAGGACATGCTTCTTGTCCATGCGGAACGGCGTGTTGAACAGCATGCTACCACCAGCCCACATGCGGCGTTCGAAGGGCGCCGCGGGGAGGTGGTATGGATCCGTCCCGTCGGGGCACAGGCCCGAAGGCGGCAGTTGGAGCGGGAAGTGTACGAGGTGGTAGGCTTCGGGGAGGGTATGTCGGGAGGGTGCTTTGGACGACGTGGGAGGAGGGGTCCACGGTGGGTGCTGGTAGAGCGGGGAGGGGAGAGCCGAGGCGGGGAGGTAGTCTGAGAGCGCGATGTTGAGGAGTTGCGAGGGCATTGGGGAGAGAACATCGTAGTGCAGTTGTTCGGGGCGGGCGAGCATCGAGTCTCGGAGGGCATTGATGTCGACTGGGGACGAGGTGGACGAGGCGGAGGAGCTGTATACGCGCTGAGGGAATAGAGGCGTCCTTGAACGAGGAGCTTGAGACTTTGGGAAGGTCGCGGTGCGCCGGGCGAGGTGGCGGAGGGAGGTGCGTGAGAATGTCATGGTCGCAGACGTATTGGAGCAATCAATTGTTTACATATAGACATCGCGCAACGGCTGCTGTATCAACTTGGCCTATACACTTTCATATTCACGAATGAAGAGCTTGAAGCTTGAAGGGAGGAACACCGGGACGCTATCACTGTAGCTTGCTCTTATCGATAAACGTAAGTTAGGCACAGCGCAACCAGTACTGCCTCGAAGTCTTGGCACCATACTTGCACAGCACGTTTATCGAGAAAACGTTGAGAAAGTACCCAAAAAAACGAAGGACCTCAAATGACTATCTTCGAAGAATGAATCAAAAATATACAAAAAGAATTGATCGATGGCGGGCTCGATCCGCCGACCTTCAGTGAACATAATGAAATGTTAGACTGACGTGATAACCAACTACACCAACCGACCTTTTGAATGATGAGAGAAATTCCGATTTATGTCCCTATAAGTTCTATTTTGAAAACCCCGGCAAGGACGTTTCCCATTGACACATATTACGTCAGGCCTGATAAGCTGGCTGGATCATAGGGTTTCCCCCCGATTCCCTTATCACGTAGCGTATCGTCATCGGAGTGGGGTTCGTTAGAGCGAAGTGTTCGTAGTCAGAGAGTGGGAAATCCATAGAGACAGACCCACGAAAAGCGTCAAGCTGCGTTTGTTAATCGGAAACGATATAAACGGTGTTACTTGCTATGCAAACGGCTCCTCGCCGTGTTGGGATACTATACGTTGTTGAAAAACTCAAATACTTGCATTTACTATTATAGGTCGATTATATATCTAGTGTTATATATAAGCACCTCGTCTGTTATTATTATACTCTAGTAGTATCGGTAGCTTAGAGTCTCTAAAAGGTAAATCAAAATACCTAGGCAAATAGCTCTTGCGCGGCAGAGAATACTGTTTGAACATCGTTTCCCTTCGCTAACGCCTTTACGCAGTCACTGAAATAGCCAATTCAGCAAGCCGTACTCTCTTACCGGATTCATGAGACTAGCTGACATTCCATGGACAACTCTTGGGTAGAGAGTTCTGCATATCGAAGAGATATATTTTATAAGTGATCCTACGATGTTGGGAGCGATGAAGCTCGGTGAGTTTAGCGGATAGCAATGCATAGCTTTGGAATGGATTTTGTCGGTTAACCCGTTCAGTGATCTCGAAGGCAAACTGTTTACATCAGTACAGACGAATACCTATAATTGAAGTACCATGACGAGGACGGGAACATCAAGATTCCCGGCACCATATTGGGTCGTTGCGTGATCGCTCTTAATTTACCTGACTGTAGAACTATCTCTTCTATAAAGGACGAAATTAACATTTGCAATCCAGAGGCGCCATCCTTCGCTCCTTCGACAATGAAGGCAACCTTACTCTGCTACTCGCGGATTTAGTAAAATGCAGCAAGGATGAAGACATCGATCTTGTCACTCTATAGGAGGAGATAACGGGGACTGTCCTTTTAAACAGGTGGAAAAGCAAATCGCCTCGACAACGTCCGCTTAGTTCGTAGCAGACTGAACGGTTAAGAAAAAGCGACTTCGCTTAAACGATCGGCCTTCGGAGCTCTAGCATGCGGGGCACCTACTATAAGATGAGGAGAGCCCGATCTTTGGCGTCTCTGCCTCAGACTGTTCCTACCCCTACTGTGCAAACATAGTTCTCCGTTATTAAAAAGGGCCTACCCCTCAGTGGAGCTGGTACGCCCCTCGAGCTAAGGAGGATGTCTTAGCCTTAGGTTAGCTGAACCTGTGTCCAGGTTTGAGATGATAATTATATATATAGATGGCGGCTATTAGCTATAATAAACCGATGTCTCGTCCGATTAGAGAAAAGTAAATAGTTAATAGTTTAATATAAAGATATAAGAGTATCTTCTTACTTGCTACACAGTGCATATCGAAGTTATGTCCACTACCCCCAAAAAGGGAGGGGTATTGTCATCCAGAAGGAAGCACGAGAAGAATCTCAAGAAGGTCTTCTGGCGCCGAAAATACCAAAAAAACAAAAATATTTGATCGATGGCGGGCTCGATCCGCCGACCTTCAGTGTTCACATTGTTAATGTTAGACTGACGTGATAACCAACTACACCAACCGACCATTGTCAAAAACGTTGCACATCATGCTACTCAACGCTTAACGCAAATCCCTGCTTGAATCGTCTCCACCGACTTTGGTTTGAGATCTGCATATGGTCGGCGTAGCCGCCAACGATTCAATAGTATTACACGCCTAAAAGAATCATGTCTGGTTCCTGAAGACAACCTATTCGAGGCAGCCACTCTGCACTTTAATTGCTCGCTTCGGTCACGATATTTGCCAGCGTTGACCTCCAGAGTGGCTGCTTTCACCATGCTTTACCCAAGTACCTAGGTAAGTATCTAACGTAACTTTTGAGTGGGTTGAGGGCGTAAGTGCGCTAGACCCGGTACGGCCAGCGCGTCACGTCACGAAGGTGGGATCGTAGAACTAATCTACGCGGGTAGTCGCGTTGGCCGTTCAAGCCGATCCGCGCCTTCTGCCTATGACGAAGATTGACTTCGAGCACGATATTGTAATCAGAATTAGGCGGCCCCAGCTGCAATAATCCAAGACTGAACACCAACTTTACACGTGAGTTCAGTCTGAGTTGTTGAAGAATTCAAGCACATCGCCATTGTGGCTTCGCGTCGCTTATTCTTGCACATCGCGACGAGTACGTCCCGTAGACTACTCAGCACTGCCTTTACTATGGCGCCCAAGCAAGCTACCTTGGGGTATGTAAAGTCTTCGCAGACCACCTTGGGGTGCGTTGCCTACGCAATCGTTTTCGCTACTTTTGTTGAGGCAAGCATGTTACTTGCTTCTTTCTAGCTGACACCTGGTTATAGAAAATTCTTCGGTAAGCCGAACGGTGCGAAACCTGCTCCTCAGCAAACAAAGCTGTCATTTGGTACCAAGACCGCCAAGAAGCCCAAAGACGAGGTAGACGATGCTGCTGCTAGCAGCGATCATGAATCCCCGAAGCCGAAAACGAAAGTTAAGATAGACGTCGATGCGAAGGAAAATGCAGACCCGGCAGACTCCAAAAAGCGATCCCGCTCTGGCTTGTCGCCGAAGGATAAGGCGAAGCAACCGTCCTCCGCAAAGGTCAAGATTGAGGAACCTGATGACGACGAGGAGGACGAGGCCCCAGTGTCCAAGAGGCCGCGCAGAACTCGCAAGACCATAGAGGAGGACGATGAAGATGAGGCCATGGCCGACACCGAGCCGGTGAAGCCTAGTAAATCTTCAAGCAAAAAGAAGGAGGTATCGATCAAGTCTTCCCCTTTTGCTTCCAAGCAGAGGTCGCAGCCCGAACCCACGAAGGTGGAAGAAGACGTCAAGGAGGAGGCAACTGCTTCAGAGTCCAAATCCGAAGCAGAAGATGTGGAGGAGGAGGAGGAGGAGGAGGAGAAGCCAGAACTCGCAAAAAAGGCTCGAGAAAAGGTCCAGACCAAACTCAAGTCCAATGCGAAAGACCCCTTTCCGGACTGGAAGGAAGGTGCTCCCGTACCATACGCGGCGCTTTGTAAGACCTTCTCACTAATCGAGATGACATCGAAACGGTTGGAAATCACGGAGCATTGCTCCCTCTTCCTACGCCAAGTCCTCCGTCTGACCCCTGATGATTTCCTGCCCGTCGTGCTGCTGATGATCAACAAGCTGGCCCCGGACTATGCTGGTATCGAACTAGGCATTGGTGAATCACTGATCATGAAGGCTATCGGAGAGACGACCGGCCGGAGTCTTCAAGTTATCAAGCAGGATCAGAAGGAAATCGGTGACCTTGGCTTAGTCGCCGTGAAGAGTCGATCGACACAACCCACCATGTTCAAGCCCAAGGCACTGACTGTCAGGGGTGTACACAAGGGCCTAATGGACATCGCGACAGTGAGCGGCCATGGTGCACAGGGGCGGAAGGTTGACAACATCAAGAAGCTGCTCTCGGCGTCGGATACCAGTGGAGGCAAGGTTGACATCAATAAGGATAAGGGCGGTCCGAGTGAGGCCAAGTTCATCGTCCGCTTCTTGGAGGGCAAGCTCCGACTAGGCTTGGCAGAGAGGACGGTGTTGGTCTCGATAGGACAGGCTATGATTATTTACGAGATGGGCAAGAAGGACACGGTACCAAGTACCTCGGATATGGAGAAAGCCGAATCCATCCTGAAGACTGTGTATAGGTCAGTTACCACTTGCAGGCCCCTGGTGTCTTCTGACTAACATGATGGTGTAGCGAACTACCTAGCTGGGATGTCATTGTCCCTGCAATGCTCCAGAATGGCATCATGAAGTTGCGCGAAAGCTGCAAGCTTCAACCAGGTGTCCCACTCAAGCCAATGTTGGCCAAGCCAACAAAGGCTATCACTGAGGTATTAGACCGGTTTGAAAACCAGAAGTTCACCTGCGAATACAAGTATGATGGTGAGAGAGCCCAGATTCATTATGTTGCCAAGGATCACCAGGACGAGTACATCGACGGCGTGCCTGGAGCAACGAAGGAGGCAGCAAACGGCATTGCATCCATCTTCTCTAGAAACTCAGAAGACCTGTCCAAGAAGTACCCCGACATCCTGGCCAAGCTCCATAGCTGGGTCAAGGACGGCACCAAGAGCTTCGTACTTGATTGCGAGACTGTAGCTTGGGATGTGGTGGAGAAGAAGGTATTACCATTCCAACAACTCATGACTAGGAAGAAGAAGGACGTCAAGATCGAAGATGTCAAGATCAAGGTCTGCGTCTTTGCTTTCGACTTACTCTTCCTCAACGGGGAGGCTGTTGTTGAGAAGCCGCTGCGGGAACGTCGGGAGCTATTGCACGAGTCATTCAACCCTGTTGAGGGCGAGTTCGCCTTCGCCACGCACATGGATGGCCAGGAGCTCGAGGAGATTCAGACCTTCCTTGACGAGAGCGTCAAGGCGTCCTGTGAAGGTCTGATGGTGAAGATGCTTGATGGCACGGAGAGTGGATATGAGCCCAGCAAACGGAGTCGCAATTGGCTCAAGGTAAGCCATCTGTGCAATTTCTGCCTTTCATCCAACTCCCGCTGACAACCGTATCAGATCAAGAAAGATTACCTCTCAGGCGTCGGCGACTCGCTCGACCTCGTCGTCCTGGGTGCTTACCACGGCAAGGGAAAGCGCACCTCGGTCTATGGTGCGTTCCTACTCGCGTGCTATAACGCCGCTTCGGACACTTATGAAACGATATGCAACATTGGCACTGGTTTTTCCGAACAAGTCCTCGAGGACCTGCACAAGTCCCTCTCTGACATCGTCATCGACCGACCCAAACCCTTCTACTCGCACTCTTCCGGTGGGCAGCACCAGCCCGACGTGTGGTTTGAGCCGCGCTACGTCTGGGAAGTCAAGACGGCCGACTTGACCCTCAGCCCGAGATACAAAGCCGGATGCAAGGAGGGTGTGTGCCCGGACGGTGAGAGGGGTATCAGTCTGAGGTTTCCGAGATTTATCAAGATCAGGGATGATAAGAAGCCCGATGAGGCTACCGGGAGCAGGCAGGTTGCCGAGATGTATCGGAAGCAGGAGAGTGTCACCAAGAACAAGGGGCCTAGTGTGGATGATGACTTTGAGTATTAAGGGGGAGTGCCTGCTGTGCTGAGTCCTGAGGAAGGGCTGGTAATTCACCTACGCGTCGCTTTCTCTGCAGGGGGCTAGCTATTTGCCGTATTCGCTGCTGATCTACCCCAGAACTTGGCCATGTCGTCGAGGCCTTTCAATGGAAGGTCATGAGTAGGCAGTCTCTCCTGCCACAAAATAGCATCTAATACGTGCCCGTTCCGTGATGATCGGCTCAGGACCCGAAGACCTGCCAAAACCATTCTGCTATTCTACCGCTCGATCGGCGTTGGTTAACAAGCGGTGAAGAGACAAACTTCTGAGCCTCAGCTCCGTGATCAAGGCCGGCATCTTATTGTATCACCACCCCGAAAATCTTTCTGCAATGGGTCTGGGGTCCTACGATGTACGTGTTAACCGATGTAAATGACCCTGATGATCTGAGATTTAGTAAACATATTCTACCAGGATAATCAAGGAGCAGGCGAGTGACATATTCACTACTATCTGTCCCGACATCCATAAGCAAGACAATACATCGACCTTCTCCAACTAAGCTGGGTCCCAACGACCTTTCTGATGTGTCTTGCACGTAAGCCGCCGCAAATACCCCGACCTCGTCATCACAGGCGCTGACATTCAAAGAAGAAGCACGAAAAGAAAGCGCGGGAGAGGCAACGACGGCGGCGTGAGGAACAAGATTGCATCAGATTTGTGGAGTAGGCAGACAACGGCAAGAGCACTGTATATGTTAGTGCGTTTGCGAGATGTAGGATAGGGGGGCAGGACATATCCTCAAGTGTTGAGACCGGAGTAGGGTCACTTGTCACCTATCGATACAGCAGAAAATGCATAGAAGGTGGCCCTGCTAATACGGTTCCGAATACGCCAGTTCATGGCTTTCCTTCTTGTCTAGGTACATTCTCCGGACGTCGTTGCTGCCAGCTGAGGCCGGGGCCTCAGAAAACCAAGGCCGTAATGGGGAATGCCGACAAGGTGGCCTTCGTCTTCCAATGGGCATCAAGATCAGAGACTCTTATAGCTCTTAGAAGTGGCTCTGATCATACGGTCAAGTGATACTACGAGGATCTCATTTGATTTACATATGAAACGGGAGTACTGGGGCAAGGACTCTGCTGTCTGAAGACGTTGCTAAACCTTCCTAGATGTGCGGATCTCGTGATACATACTGATGTGTCACGCGCATCTAGGCAGACTGGGAAGTTATATTCGGTGGCTAGAACAAGCACTTGTCTCAGAATTGCACTTTGACGTATAGGACAGGCAGGTGAGGCTGACTCGGGTACATATATCATTAACAGACTGGAAGACGAGGACGGGGATGCCTTGCAGCCTGATCATCAAGGCGGTGGCGAGACGTACACTTCCGTTTCCGAAATCATCTGACTTTATTCTATTTCACCGAGGGTATCAAGTCACATCATCGAGGCCTATCTTACTCTTCATAAAGGTGTTGTCACCCACCATTGCTCAGGTCTCAAT